TGAAAATCTGAAATTTTAGTTCTTATTTATTTTATTAAATGGATTTTCATCAAGTAAAAGCCAGTTTAAGGATGGAGAGTTATTGAGATTGATAAAACTATCCTCACTAATTATATAATCATCACCATAATTCAAGGGACGATCCAGACAAAGGCAATGACACAAAATTTGATTAACAGTTTATATAAAACAGTTAATTAATAGATTTCCTATAATTTTCTTCCTCTTTTTTGAATTATCAAGTAGGGTTTTCGTTCATCTCTTTCATCTTTAACAACTTCTCTCCATTTTTTCTTTTTCACAAATGATGTAATATATTATATATCGAAATTACTTTTCGAAAACTTAAATGAACTAGTTTTACTATCCTTGACAAATATTATATTTATATATTATGGCGAACAGATGGTCTTTGTTTCCCTTTTTGTTTAGTTGTCAGGTGGTAGGTATGACACGGAGTTGGGTAAGAGATATAACAATGTAATCTTACCTGAGGTTTTTCTTGCGCGGAAAGCTGTTTATATTGAATCAAGAATTCCTTAAACAGTTCCCGTACGAATGGGTCGTCCCTCAACTCGTCCGAGTGTTGACGGTCAGCATTTTGGGACCTTACTTCGTCGACATTGCCGCTGAAAAGGTTAAACCTTTGGCAACGCGCGAAACCTAGGCAAAATAGCCAGAACACCAGTTTAGTTGACTTCGCGACCATTTCGCACAGAGTAAAGGACTGGCTCTTCGTTTCTGAGGGTCTTAAGCGCTCGGGGGAAAGTTAATGCGCTTTTGATGCATTTCATATTGCCGAATTTCTCGTTGACAAATTTTTAACATTTTTGTACATACACCAACGTATTTTGTTTAGTGATTCTAAAGATACTTTCGTTATTTTTATGGAGGATGTTTCCGTGTCCCTTCTGGTCGGTCTCTTTTTGCCGGGTATTTAAGAAAACATGTGCCATCGCTGGAGGGGAGATTCCTCACGTAAAAATAAGACTTTTTCTATAGCAACGTGGGCCTGATTCTGCTTCGTTTCGTAGCTACAGGGTGTTAAAGAATTTTTATTTGTTTGATATATTGTAGTTTTATCCAAAACGACTAAAGCAATAAAAAAAATGGAGTTTAAAAGTTACTTAAATTAGTACATATTTTACTACAAAAAGAGTTGGCCAATTTGTTTTGTCTCTATTAATTCAAATTTAATCCGCAAAAAAATTTAATCTGAGAGTTGTCATTGCCATTGACACTTACCAAAGATATCAGTGGCGCGGACATTTTTTTTTATAAAAGTATTGCTGCTATAGCCGATACGCACGGCAGTGGTCAAGTTTTCCATTTGTATTACAATATGTACTAGTTTAAATAAATTTTACCCTCCAAATTTCATTGGATTCATTCTGGTCGTTTAGGCTAAATTTGGAGTAAACTAAAGAAATACAAATTCTTCAAAACCCTGTAGCTAAACGAATCACAATGATGTAAAAAAAGTCTTATTTTCACATGACTAATTTCCCGTTCACCGATGGCATATATTTTATGAAACGCCCTGTATAAACAATTTCTTGTATTCGGCATCGAGTGAAAATCTAGTTAAAGTTAAATGCGGAGATCTAGGAATGCGAGATGAATTTCAATTACCGGTTGAATTGGAAGGGGCAGTTTGTTTCGGTGACCTCCTAGATGCCTCGATTAATAACTTTTTTTTCTACTGGAAGTTTTACAATAATTGTAAAAAATAAAAATCAATTGAAAAATATGCCAAGCAAGCACAACAGACTTTCCGCGAAACAAAAATTGAGTAATGAGAATTAAAATGAATGGTGGAAAAAGTGGAAACGAAAGATTTAACTTTATTTCAGAGCACACGCATTGTAACAGTACAGTCTAGACCATTTCAATCAGGAATCAATTGTTCTGCAATTTTATTTTAAACTATCAAGTAAAGTATGTTCATAGATATAAGAAAGTAACTAACTGATACGAATTAAGGAAAACTGTAAGAATGAAATATGGCCGAACAGCTCCGTACTTTGATTAGAATTTAATTATTTGGGGTTTTGTTAGGAAAGATACTAAATAATATTTATTTATTTATGTATGTATTTATGTTTACATCTAAAATAAAATTCCGGGGTATCATAAGTGTAGATCCAGGTTCCATCCAAGTAAATAATTGGCCTTTGTTGTTCTCTGTAAATCCAATTTTTTTTTTTGATATTCCAGTCGCCATTTCCGAATTCTAAAAGAATCCAATAAAACTTGCCATTTGTCAATTTTTTTTAAATCTAAAACCCATGTGTTGAATACACTTCCATAAGGTAGTTCTGCCACATTTAACACCGGTTTCATCTTTTTCAAGCGTTCTAATTAAGATATCTAATGTAGGCACGCTTTGTTCCTCGTATAACTGGTAAATTTTACGCCGTATTATATGTTGATCACTGTCATCTACACTCGAGAAAATGTCAGCGTCGCTTCTTTTTTTCGTCGCTGAAATGGGATTATTCACAATTTTCCATACAGTTGATGTTGGAATTTTCGTCAATGCGGCCGTTTCTTCTAAAGTTGCTTGCTTGCTGACACCACGTTCAATGATAGAGAGTCAAATAAACATTGTTTATAACTTCCTTAGTCCCAATAGAATAGTGTTTTCTACATTTGGGCGGGAGCATCTCCTCAGATACACTAGACTCGCACATATTTGCATAATTCGCACACGATTCAACACACGCTGTATTACACACGAAATAAGAATGATTACTAATAAACTTAAACTAAGTAGTATACCAAACCAAAGAATATTAAACACAGGTATGTAGATTAGATTAGATTAGATTAGATTAGATTAACAGTTGGGAGAGCTAGCAGTCAGCCGTCCGTCACTGCGACCCAGAGGATCTATTGTGACTCTCTCCATAGCTATAGGGCTTTATCCAGGTTCGTCTCTCTAACCAGACTCCACAACTTCGATAATGGCTCCCTCGTATAGCTCTCTGCCTCTGGTTTGGTATTGCCCAGCAGATATGTAGGTATGTATAAAATTATTTTCTATTACGGACCACAATTTTATCTGAATTTAAATTCCGAAACTTTAGGTAATAATCTTGTTAATGTTGTTGTGTTGTTGTTGTTGTTGTTATGTTAATGACCAACCTTGGATATTCCCATTCAAAAGCAATTGGTTACTTTCTTATATCTATGAACAGACCATACCAATCGGCATTTAAAGAAAACTCGCCTTTTTCTTCCAAACAAGTCTAAGTTCGCTTAAATCGAATAAGTCGTTTACTTAGACATTGAGGAGCTTCCCCACTCTTATTTCAGTGGAATTTTGCAAGCTTTCTAGTATTGTTATTGAATTTGTTGCTTAATGTGAGAATTTTCGGTGAAATCTTGAATTTTTAGAGGACCCTAACAAGTGCGGAATTTAAGAAGAATTTCCTGGATTTTCTTATACCCATTTTAGTTACAACTGTTCTTCCTGAATCTCTAGGTCCACCATGTGAATATCATGACTTTAGTTTTTGATATCGTTATATGGATGTCTATAGTAATAATCATTGCATTACTCAGCCTTTATACGTGGTAGTTGATAATAAATATCACGTTACTTTTGCTGTCCTTTTCCTCGGTGTTATTCCAATTTGTGTCTGTGTATACTGAGTTTTTGTATCGAAGATTGCAAAATTGATGTATATTATTTTATTCTTCTAAAAATCTCTTTTATAAGCGGAGATACCATGTACTGGGTGGTAGTTTCTTTTTAAATAAAATATTATGCCACTGCTGGTTCATTGTATATGGCGCGAAGTAATGAAACCTCGTTTTACATGCAAAAGGACAAGATGGCGGTCCACTAATTATTTATGGGAATTCAAAAACTAGCAGCTTTTTATGAATTGCAGGTTGCACAATGGCCATAAATTCAAGAAATGTATGGGATGTAAAAATAAATTAAAGGAAATTTTATTTTAACATGTAAACTATATTGCATTTAATTTGATATGTGTATAATACAAATTATAGAAACATATTTGGTCATATTTTAGGAAACTATAAATATTAAAGTTATACGGTTTCTTTTTAACCGTTAGGAACTTATTTTATATTAAATTAATAAGCTTACAGAGTAACTCTACAAATTTTTCGTATTTTATGAAATAACCTGTAATTGTGCGTCAAACTACTACCGGAAACCCTGTACATCTATAATTTTTATTAACCAGAAATATTAAATTTGGACTTGGACTTCTTGGACCACTTTTTCGAGGTCCCAATTCACCAGCTGCCTTTCTTTCCTGTAACAATTTAAATGCAGTGTGGCCCTTCAATGACTTTTTTGTTTATTGATTAAGGAGAAATATTACCGCTTTTTTTCACGGGAATGAATGTCGATAATGTTAGTGCATGTAGAATATTGCCCAATTCATGATTTTATGGGTTAACTTTCTACATTCGTCTATGGCAGACAATTTGGAAACAGATTTTAGTAGTCATTATAATTTTGAAGTCGTCTTTGCTGTGTGCTTGTTGTTGTTATTACTTCTCTTTATTTCGAAAAAGGGACAGGGTGATATTTCTTGTAAAACGGTAAAGATAGTTCATATTATATCCAAATTAACTGGGAGTCGGAAGTTTTAAAGAGGTATTTTTCGGATTGCGTCTACTAGAAATCCGGGTTGGTAGTGGCTGCTAAGTTATGAAGGCAATCACCTACATAACCAGTTAAAACTGAATTGATTGTGACCTACTGTTTATCTGTATTTTATACAGAGAACAAAACAATATGTTTGATAGTTTTTTTGTTCTTGCTCGTTACCGATAACACTCTACCCTTCAAGAGTTCGTCCATTATATCTATTTTTGCAAATATACCATTCTTTATGCAACAATTGTGAATTAAATGAGCGATTATCACTAGCGAAAATAAAATGCTATATTTTTTTCACTTTTTTTATTTTGGTCTTATAAATAATATATACAAAAAAAATGAATGTAATTTTATACTATATCTCGCCGATTTCCCTCACTTTCGCTACCGGCCCTTCCACTGGTACGCTCTGAACCCTGTAAGCTACGTGCCTGCCGTGAGCCGCAGTTTCCACAGATGCTGTACCGGTCAAATCGATTTGGGGACCATCCAATGGTACCGCTTCCATTCTACAACGAAAACCAAGAGATGTAGAACGCCTATTGCTTATTTAAATCATCGTCGTACCCGGTTATCCTGTATCCATTTTGGTCAGCTTCATAGTGAACCGTTCTCTGATAGTACCCATCACTATAAGAGTACATACCTCTAACGGCCAAACCTTCTCTAGTTTCGGATCTTTGGTGAGTGAGGTCGCTGATGTGGTCATCGATGTTGGAAGAAAATTCGTATCTAAAAGCATAATTTGGTGCTATTGGATAGTGGAGTGGCTGGAACGTAGGTGGTACCTAGCGGCTTCGTTTTGTTTCCTCTCGAATTCGTGGGGCACGTAGTTTTTGGGCGCCGGTACTCTGACTTCGTCGATGGTAGTTTCCTGATCTATGGGGTTTACGATGGCGTTTTCTACATGAACGGTTTTGGGAACGGTACCGCCTGTCGGTCTTTTATTTGGGAAATGAACGCGCTCATTGACCTGGGGTCTGGCTAAAGTTAGTGTTGCGATGGTCGCGATTATTATCTGTAATGTTTGAGTACAGAAGTAATTGATTTGTTTAAGTAAATATTTTTAACATTACTTACCAGGTACTTCATGGTCGGTCGTACGGTTTACTACTGTTTTCCGAAGTTCTTGAGGCCTCATCGTTTTATATATATTCGGGTGAAAGTTGATTATTTTCGAAAAATTCGGGTTCATTAATTGGTGTTCGTTTAAAAGTGATTTTATCGGAGAGGTTTCGAATTCCAAATGTCCGACAATGTCGTCGATATTTTTGGTTTACAGCAATGTTTTATTTTAATGAGAAGTAATTAAATTTTATAAATTCTATCCTATAATCTTAAATATTTGGTCAATTCATAGGGGAGAGCGTGGGGTTTATTGTAATAATTTGTTTAAAGAGGGTCTTAATTGTTTGTTTTTTTTTTTAATTATCTGTTTATAAGTTTGTTCAACTAAAAAAGTACTTAGGTTTTAAACTTCAAAATTATTTTACCTACTAGAAGTAACATAAATTAATTAATTGTGTGAGCAAAGACCTGTAACTTTTAGCCGCACTTTAGAGGCTTCTTTGTATTCCCCAAGTGGCCACAAACAAAATTTCGGACGTTTTATCATAGCTTTTCTTAATGAACACAAAAATAAAGTAAGCTTGCACTGCAATGTACCGATATAGTATAGTTGTCATTTGTATCTCTAAAGATTGGAAACTTTGAACAAATTGTAGTTCCATTCCAGAAAAAAATATAGATAATTTTTATTCATAGGATAAGAAGAACGCATAATCAACAAAACCAAACATTTTGAAAAACAAGAAATAAATATGCCTTTCTTAAATAAACAACTGGTTTCTAGAAGCAAGCAGACAATTGTAATTTCATTTTGCGTGTTCAAGTGTTTGTTTTATTTTACTTGAGATTCTACCAATAGTTCTTATACAAATTTTACACTCCAACACTATAATGTTTTTTCTAATTACTATAACGCTTAAATATTGTCCTGGCTTGCAAAACATTTGGAAAATTTGAACATAAAAATGAATAATGCTAGTTCATTTTGTTTTAGTTGCTTAGTTTTTTTTTGTGTTTTTGAGTTGTTGCGACAGATTCTAAGTAAAATAAATAATGTAAATGGATAGAAATATATTTATTCTCTTATATACAACTTAATTTAATTTAATCAGAAATATACACAAACATCAATCTCTTATCACTCCCCAACCGATATCACAGATTTTGGCACCACAGGTTAAATCGAATAACCCCAGTCTTGTTTGATCATATCCGACCCCTTCTCTGCTATCATAAATGTCGGCGAATTCGTGTGGGCTGCTGGTATTTCGGGCATTATGGAAGCGTCGATAACCTAAAATTTATTGGGGAAAATTGATCGTCACATGACATGCTTCAATTGACCTTACCCTTAAACCTTTCACTCCGTATACCCTCAGTCGGTCATCAACGACCGCCCTTTTATCCGACGGCGGTCCCATTTTACAAGTTCCGCTTTGGTGGTAAATGGTGAAGGTAAAATGTCTCGTCATGCACTCAAAATAGGCGTCGCTTCCGAATGGTATGTTTGAGCATTGAGGTATGGGAATGTCGTGCAACCTACTGCCTAAAATTGGTCGTTATTTTATCTACCATTGCGCCACGAGGTCGTCTGCAAGTAACTCGAGGCTACGCTAAACATACTCTTTAATATCGTTGACATATTAAGTTATAATTAATGTCAATACCCTTATAAACAGAATTAATCAATAAGAATCATGATTGAAAATTTTGGTGAGTTTCGACGAAACTGTTCTTTGTTACTGTACCATGATGCGTACAAAATTTAACCAGATTTGAGTAGAAGAAATAGAATCAATATGGACACGCTACATGGAAGGACTCTGAGGATAGCACAGTACTATAATTACCAAATTTTGGATGATTTAACTTTGTTACAATTTATATAAAACTTAATTAGCTCGTAAGTATATCCCTCGTTTGATACATTTTTGTTTATCTAACAAATCTTAAGTGGAGTAAACATAAATATAATTTAATATCCTAAACACAAACACTTTTAATAGCATCACTTCTAATCGAACATGGAAAGACTTTTTACTCTCACGGTCAAGTAAATATTTGAACGCAAGAGCATCTTTTTTCTCAGATTTCCAGATAGAAAAAGCCAGTCTAACTCAACTCTCAGATTCGAATAGATTAAGCGAAACCTGCTCTATACTTGTAATAATTTTAAGGGTTAAAATAAAATAGTTAAAAACTTTCTGTGCAATAAATTGTTTTCGCTGGTCATCCATCCATCCTGACAACATTTTCGTACAGGGAAGCACGTAGAAAATACATCCCTGGTGTCATTTTTGAGTAACATAACAATTCTATCGCTAAATCAGGTTTCATTTATAATTTATACGCAGACAGAGTTAAAACTTTATTTATTGGATTTTTGGAGGTTTCAAGAATGACTCAGAAAAGCTGACAAATTTGAATTATGATAATGCAGGAAGGAAATTAGCAGGTCACACAAAACTTACTGAAGTACGGATTATTGGAGGTGAGATCAGACTAATAAAGCTGTGCTTAGATGCTTCGCGTTCTTGTCACATCGGGGGCTTCTGTTTGATAATTTCAACAAAAAAAAACTATATTTTAACTTTAGGATATACAACTTTTTATTTTTAGAGTTAAAAAGTTATTATTTCAAACTCTAACGGGTTAAAAGTAAATTTGTTAAATTTCCAATCAGGTGAAGTTACTTTGTACTTAGATACTTAGATATTTATTCTATACCGATATATTAATTTATGAAGGGTTTAATTTTCATTTAAAATAAAAAAAAAGTTTTCGTTAGTTTAAAATTGTGCTTTATATCGCGGCAGTAAACATAGAAGTTTGTGCTTTCGTCAAATATTACTATTTTACGTTCTATATGCTCGAATCTGAAGAAAATTATTCCAAGGTGAGTTGATTTTTGTTAATTTAAAAACACGTTTAGGTTATATACAGAAAAATTCAAATTATTAACGCATTTTAATATTAATATCTCACTTTACAATTTTGTATAAAATATCGCTATAAAGAGTATCACAAAGCAGTGTATACGGACATACCTTTAAATCAAAGTTTCTCTTTTTTTCTTTATTATCTTCAAAAAAGAGTGAGAAAGTACTTCGGGATTAAAAACGTATTTTCACTAATCATTCATTCGTTCATTAAATTACTAACACAAAGACGACTTATTTTTATTTATGCGGGTGGATGCGCCGGGTATCTTACCTAGCGCTTGTAGTGGCGGTTGCTTGACCAAATCCAAAACCAGCCTAACTCCCTTGAGAATGGTCTCCATATCTTTAGGATCAGCGAAATAATTGGGGAATATGAACGGTTTGTTTTTGTAGTTGGCGTCCTTGAGCATGATCCGGCCTTTGCTTTTGGGCCTTAACAACATGGGAAACACCATAAAGGAGTCTTTCTGCTCGATCGGTTTAAATACGGCGTCGTAAATTTCGTCGGTGATGCCGAAATCCTTCCTTAAAACCGTATCCGAAACTATCGATCCTCCTTGGAACAGCAACTCCATGTCAGGGTATCCGTCCGGGTCGTTTGGATTGTCGAAATCGGTGAAAACCAGCGCCTACAATGATTCAATTATTTACGCGTCCTTTCAGTATCCTATAATAAGGGTCACTTTAGGCCAACAATTAAACCGTACTTTGTTAAATGGTCTTTCGTACATTTTATTGGTTCGCTTTTTCGAAAAATTCATGAAATTTTAATTTTAAAATTTCCACAATATTATTAGAGCAACTTTTGATTAGTGTTGTCAAATGCAGTTACATTCTCGGAATTGTATAATTCTCGTGCCCAATATGTCAAAAAGAAACTAAATAAACTAATACAGTAATATAGAAATAATCCTTTTCTAGAGATAAACATTCGCTCCTCTTCGTATTTTAAAATCAAAAAGAAGTTCCATTTTAACAGTACGAGCTTTTACCTATTTTTTTTTTAATTTCGCTTTGCTAGACGACCACTGCAATTATGAGCTGTAGCAGTCAAAATAAGAACTAAAAAAATATTTGTAATAGTTCCCTTGGTCGATTTCCTTAGAATATCACCCAGTATTTTACGATGACATGTGACAATCATGACATTAAACAGAGAGCAAATGTCATATCTAAAATTACTAGTAAAAAAAATAAAAAAAAAAATTCAAGTAAACGACCCGTTTGTGTTTCGTGCTTGTACCCACCTCGCATCCTCCAGGAACGCTTAAAGGTCCTTTGTGGTTGTTGAAGTATTCCTTCAAGTTATCTGTACTGAGGAGCCTTTCCGTGCGTAGAGACAAAGGTTCGTCAATTATGAAAGTAAACCCCCCCATCGTGATGTGATCCATTAGATTATGGCCGACTTTTAGATTACTCAGCACCGGTATACCTACAAGATGTTTCTCCACACTATTCCTTCGTCCTGCACTAGTACGGACCACTGACCTACTTGCTTGAGATGTTTTCTAGGCCCTATACCCGATAACATGAGCAATTGGGGCGAGTTTATCGCACCAGCGCTCGAAATGACTTCCTTGTTCGCTCTAACAAAATAAGTTCTTCCCCCTTTGACCATCTCAACCCCTTGGACTTGCTTCGATATAGGATCGATTACAATTTTTTTCACCATGGTGTATTTGGTTAAGTGGAGATTTTTTCTGGTACTTATGGGATGCAAATACGCCCTGCTGGAACTTTCCCTGATCCCGTTTCTTTGACTGAGCTGCAAGTAGGAGACGCCCACCTGCGTGGGTCCGTTGTAGTCTACGTACGGGAAGCCGTAGAGGAGACTAGAGTTGACGATGGCATCTGCGATTTTAGTCCTGTAAGGGGAGTAACTGATGTCCAAATAGCCCTCGTAGCCGTGGTATTCTTGATCGTGCGGAACAGGCACTGAGAAGTTCTCGACTTTTATGAAGTACGGAAGAACCTCGTCAAACGACCATCCGCGATTGCCCAGAGCGGCCCAGTGGTCATAATCTCTGCGGTTACCTCTCGTATAGATCATGTAGTTTAATACACTCGAACCTCCTAGAGATAAACAAATTGAAGATTGCGTTCAGGGGGTTTCGTATCTTAAAAGTTACCGACTACTTTCCCTCTGGGCCAGTTACATTGGCCACCGTCCAAACCAAGGCAGGATTTTCCGCTCGGTTGGGTTTTGTATCTCCAGTTGCTTTCGGTAAACTGAAGATAGTTGGCCAAGATCGGAAAGTCCATCAAGAAGTTCTCTGGTCTTCCTGTAGAGAAACGTGTTAATTTGATGCGTTTAATTTAACTAAAAATGTGATCTTCGACTGACCAAACTTATAAATGCGAAGCTTTGTGGAAAGAAGTTGATTAGTGCGATGAATTCGTGAAGCAGCACTCATGTTGGCTTATTCTTTTGGCTTACTAAAATGACCAAGGACTAATTTTGATGAACTGTCGCCTCAGTCACTGAAACTCAGCTACTGAACGTCTGAATTTACCTACGTAAATTGAAGGTTAACAACTGAAAATTACACAAAAAAAATGTAAACATCCAGTTGGAAAGATCGAATTCATAACGAGAGGATCTGAGGCTACTGCAGAAACGAAATACCTTCGCAGACATAATGAGGTAGCTAAAATTGTCAACTCCCAACCGGCAATAAAGCGCAATCTAATAAAAGACTTCCTCCATGTTCAGTCCTAGGCGGCTTTTATTTGTAGACTACAATCGCCCAGGGGAGAAAAGTGTAACAAGAGGCTTGGATTTTAGAGATTGGTACCTCGTTGACTCACAACCCTAAAAAAACTGTCACTGAGAAAAGTCGAAAATATCTGAACCTAACCGTTGTCTGTGGAAGGTCATATCATCACACAGAAATGCGGAAAATCTGTATTTTTCAAACGTGCTGTATATATAAGTTTTTTTTTAAATTATTGACTTTAAAGGAGGAATTGGGAAAGAATGAAGAAGATTGTGACGATATTGGTATTGGTATTGGAGTGTGTTACTGCTTTGTTTTTAACAGAGCTATACAGACCACTACATAAAATAAAACAAAACAATAAATTGCATCTTATAACCTCGGACAACTAAATGTTTATAGTAAAGTAAAAAGAAACAAAAGAAAAGTGAGAAAGCGTAAAATTATTCTTTAGGTTCTTTTTACATTTAGAAACTACACATTGGTTTTGGTCTTGGTCTTAAAATTATAGAAAATATTAGCTCTGATTGAAATATAGAGTCTTTCCAGCAGGACACCACATTGGGATGTATGGAGACTTTTTTATACTACTGGACAAACTTACATTATTGGAAACAAATTTTAATAATCTATATTCTAAAGGGACGGTTTGTGTGTCCATAAATTTCCTGCTTCATTCCTTCTATTAACCAAAGTTTCTTAACGTTGTCTACATGTACGTAATTTAGAATTCGTTATATTTTTGTTAGTTTTTTTGCCCTTTTTTAACATCTATTTATTCGTTTTTACGTTTTTCTTTTTACTTAGTTGTTCATCTCTGAATTAATGAATAAATGAATGTGCGCTAGATTTGTTGACCATTAATTTTTACATTCTTAGCAAGACGTGATCATCATCACGGCCAAAGCCATTTGAAGACGAACGAAGATTAAATTAAAATTAACGACGAAGCTTGTTGTTATTAACGGTTATCTTTTTGGTATGTTACACGTTTCGGGTTTTAAAAAACTACATACTGCTGTATGAGAGTTGCAGAGACATTGAAAAAGTTTTTATAGTACAAAAGCGTGTAATCAGAACGCTTCTTGGCCCAAAAAGTAGACAGTCTTGCAGAGGAAAGTTTAAAGAACTTAATATCTTAACAGTGACTGCAGGGTTCATACAGGAGTGTCTCATGTACTTTTTAAAAGAGATCTTTTTTTACTTCACAGGCAACACGCACGCAGAATGTTAGTTTTTCTCACCATCGATTCACGGGGACTGAAAAGGTTCCTTCTTACCAGTGCGAAAAATATTCAATAATCTAACGGAATAGATACAGAAAATTGAAACTGTTAAAATAGTAAAGAAAGAAAATTTTTAGTTTGATACTATTTAATATATGTATACCGTGTGCCAAATAAAACGGAAACCCATAGGAGATACGAAAAAAGTTTTTTACAAAAGTTTCTTGGACTCTCTAGAAGATTATATAATATATAATTATAATTTTTATATATTATAATTTTGTTGATGCAGGGTGTCCCAAATTGTCCCCGCCACATCAACTTTGTTATTTTAAATGAAACTCCCTGTATATTTCGTCATTTTTGGAATCATTGGTTAAAATAAATGTATTTCTCTCAAAAAATTCAAATTTTGCACAGTTTAGGCGGATATTGAGGTTATGTGTTTTTTTTTTCATATTTTGATTGCCCCATATAAAATTGCGTTGTGACGCTACTGATTCAGGTATTTCAAAGAAAATTTAACCACAGACTAAGGAGATGATGCATTACTCCGTTAGTTTGACATATGCGCCTCAGCTGTCCGAAATAGGTGGTGCCGTTTTGGCGAATTCAATCAACAAAATCTCAAGATTTTCAAATGGAACACACTATATTTTTGAGATAAGATAACACGCGTATGAATTCTTGTTGAATTTAAAGCTGCCCACATTACGTCACTTGTTGGCTATATTAGGTATTTAGGTAGGTATTTAGGTAACATGATACTACTTCTTTTAAAGATATAATCCTCCAGATATACTACTATACCTATATATAATCTATACTACACAGTTTAACAGGTTTAATAAAACTTCAGAATTCATATTTATAGAAACATTTAATAGCTAATTATCGAGATTGATTGAGAATACCTAATAACAAAAATAAATAATTAAAGTTTATATGTTAACCAAAAAACTATAACTTATTTAAAATGGAAATAAAATATACACTAGCAAAAAACTTGACCACTATGAACTTTTAAATGGAAATATGAAAAACAACAAAAACAAACAGAAATGTCAACAAAAGAAAAATTTGTGTATACCTTAATGCGTTAAAAAAAAAGATTATGATGTCATAGCTAACTACATTTTGATGTTTTGATGCCAGATGAAACGAGCATTTTAACAGGAACATTTGTATCTAAACTTTATGGGCCGAATGAACGAACCCTTTTAAGTTAACTTTTTTTTTAATAGATTTATTTAGTCAAATTTTAATTATTTACTTTTGTTATTAGGTATTTTCATTCAAGCCTGATAATTAATGTTTAAATGTGTAAATGTTTCCTTAGTTATGAATTCGGAAATTTCATTAAATCTATATTGTTAGCAATAGGTTTTATTAGTATATATATTTTTTAAATAAGAAAGACATGATACTACTTCTATTACAGATATAATTATCTGTAATAGAAGTAGTATCATGTCTTTTTTATTTAAAAAATACGAACAAGTGACCTAATATGTGCAGCTTTAAATTCAACAAGAATTTATACGGTTGTTATCTTAAACCTCGAATATCTCAAAAGGTAAGTAAAATTTAAATGTATATTTTTTGTCCTAGAATTGATGTCTACATAAAAATATAGGGTGTGTCATTTGAAAATCTTGAGATTTTGTTAATTGAATTCGCCAAAACTAACCAAAACGGCACCACCTATTTAGGATACCCTGTATAAGCTGTCAACTGTCAAACTGATTCAGTAGCGCATCATCTCCTTAGTCTGTGGTTAAATTTTCGTTGCAATACCTGAATCAGTAGCGTCACAGCATAATTTTATATGGGGCGATCAAAGTACGAAAAAAAAACACACATGAACTATGCAAAATTCAAAATATACAGGGTGTTCCATTTCAAGTAACGAAGATTGGTGTCGGGGGACACGTTTGGGACACCCTGTATCAACAATGTATCAACAAAATGGTAATATTTTTAATCTTCAGGAGAGTCCAAGGAATTTTGTACCAAACTTTTTTTTTCGAATCTCCTATGGGTTTCCAGTTCGTATAGTAGATCGTTTTATTTGGCACACTGTGTACATATACTTTAAATAATGATATGTGGTTATTATTAATATTATCATTATTATTATTATTATTATTATTATTATTATTATTATTATTATTATTATTATTATTTTTGCAGGTAAGCAACCGTAATGTTCGGCAAGGTCACCTGCGGCCCGTAATAGGTAAGTTGTTGAAAAAGGGCCTAAGTAACTACCTGCTTCTATTAGTAGAACGTTCCAATTTGGATTTTCTGACAGCCTATTTGCGATTACGCATCCCGCGGTTCCCGCCCCTACGACGATAAAGTCGTATTGGGGCAGTAATTTTTCGGGTGGCATGTCGGGGGGTTCAAGGTTGATTTGTTGCTCCCCTTCCTGGATGACGCTGATGAGACCGTCTATGATGGATTGCGGTTGCGTTGCTCTCACAGCGATGGTCAATATCGCGCAAGCTCTGAGAACGTTGTCAGGTCGCGCCATTTTGTACTAGAAACAGAAAAAAATCCATTGTTTCTTGCCTGTTCTTATTTTTTGTTTTGAGCGGACTAGAACAATTTCTTAAATAACGGCCATAACGAATATTGAATAAAGACATTTGAAAAAATCTATATCATATATCAGCATGAGCATCAACTATGGATAACCAGGGAAATACGAAATACTGAAAAATATGAAAAACTTGTATTATACAGTTTCTGCAGGCAAATAAATTGTTTGATAGTTCATTACAGACAGGAAGTCAAATGCGGGCATATTACAAAAATCATTATTTCAATATTCATCAATACTGTTAAATTAAGGTTCCGCGTGTAATCAGGAGACATGTTAAAGAATAATTATGCCCATCCCTTGACTTTTGAATTTTTTGGGATATATATAGGATAGAATATAGGACTAGGCCAGCTTTGCAGCCGGCATTATAAGAATGGAAGCCACAATTATTTTTGCTTCAACAGTCCCTCATTCTGTGATGCAAAGATTTTCGATGAATGTTGGAGTTGGAGTACATTCAACATAATAGGATGGTAAATGGGAAGGAAAATTACCATAGTAATATAGTTAGCAAAATCTATGTACTAACCTTCCGCTTTAAATTACTATGGAATCCTTACAATACTTACAAATCTTCTGGATTCCTCCTGTTGATAAATCGAACCTGCTCAAACTTAATTTGGTCGGATCGAAGATGTTGAGAAATTTTTGCACAAGTGATAAACCTCGTTTTAATATTCTATGTCTTGATATGTGGTCAGGAATGTTTTGAATGTATGGAATGACCACAGTGGCAAGACTCATTTTCTGGAAGGTTGTGTGTGTAATTTTGTGATGGAACGCAACTAACGATTTTTGGACCAGAATTAGAATATCTAAGAATTTAAATGTCTGATAAATATTCTATTGATTTTTGACCACAAAGTCACAGGATAAACGTATCTTCAACGTAGCGTTTCCATAATTTTGGTTTTAGATGGAAGATTTTGATGGCTTCCTTCCCAGAAACTTCCATTAATATATTTGCGATGACTTAAGAGGGAAAATAAAGATAACATTCCAATTCCAAAATACTGATACTTTGTATTCACGTTTAAAATGAAGACCGAACCCTGAGGCACTCCACATTGGAACAGGCTGTACTTAGATTGTTGTTTATTGTAAGTAACCCACTGGAATCAAATGTTACTAGGGTCCAGACCTCTGAACCATCAAATTATCATCTATCAGAGCCGAAGACTTTGGTTAAATAAAAAAATCAAACTTTTGAGTAGTACGTGTAGGGTAGCTACGAAAACCAAATTGATGGGGATTAAATATGTCGTTTTCTCAGAAGTGGCTTATAGTTCGTTTTTTAAGAGGAGACCTATAGAATTTTTTGTTTTATTACAGAAATAGGAACTTTAATTTATATATAATATTAAAAAGCAAAATCAGAAGCACTAAAGTCACAGGGGCCATTGATTGATTCAAATAGCTTTCTGCTTAGTGGTGAAACGTAATATTTAGTCATCCTTACCATCCATTTTAGCTTCATTCGAAGAAGAAAGGTACTTTTTGTTAACTGGTTTTTTTTCCCTTAAATCGTTTAATGGCTCTACATTTCCTAAATCTACAAAATAATAACGATTGAGTTAAAAGTCGTGAAAGTCGATAAGCAGATTTGATGAATAGTTTTCGTTAGCATGCAACATTACATATTAAAACTGTTAAAGTTGTTGATTTCATGCAATCAGGTTGAGAGTAATTCTGGAAATGCGTGTTATCGAAACAAATGGTGTAACTCCTCTCAAGTCTATTGCTCTTTCTCTTCTTGTTTTTCTAAATCAACAATGATAGCAAGATTTTGTGGCAAAATCTATTTCCAAATTTGAAATGTTCTGCATTTCAAAAAGTTTATTTTTTGCACTGCTAATTCTGAAATATATTGTTTCGTTAGTGAGGAAGGACAGGGAGTAATTTCGTTATACAGGTTTTTCAGTGAGTATGAGCCGGAAATGGCCGAAGGAGGAAACGCCTGGCTTTTAAATTATTCGTTGGTTTTGGAGGTTCTTTGTTAATTTGTTAACGTATTAACCCGTGCGTTCAAGACTATCAGCTTTTCGATATATTTTGGTCGATTTTAATTGGCTTGACCATGAATTGGCTTAAAATGTTCGCAAACTGATTATGTGATCTTTTGTCTGCCGCAGACGGAAGTGTGTTTTTTAATATTCAAATTAGGCGTCAGTGATGTTTATTTTATTAACATAGTTCATATTTATACATTAGCAAATTCCTCTTAACATAAAGTAAATAATATTAATATTTATATGATAGACCATAATTTATAAAAACTTTGATAAATGACGAACGTAATTGAATGTAGATGTGCAAACGAGAGGTATAGAAGCAAAGAAAAAATGTAGATGTGACTCGAATACTTATTATTATTAATATTAATTTCAAAAGGACGTTGTATATTAGCAAATTATAGTATTTTTCATGTTAATTATATGGCGAATGTATCACAAGAACGCATTTTTTTGCACAAATTATAACCATATTAATCTTTTTTAAAGTGATCATGTATGGCAAAAATGAAAATACGGAAAATTGTTCTGCTGCCAAAAGACAAGTAATTTAGGTATTTGTTTTAAATGTTGCCATGTTTAGATATTGTGTGCAGGGAATAGGAAGTGTAGGATCTATCTAGAGTATGTTCTACGAAAGTTTGACGTTGTTTTTCTGAATAATCAGCTTGAAAAATACTGCTTTGCTAAATTTACAGACTCCGTGTTTAAAAAAAGTGATTTTTTACACCGTATATACTCGCTGTATAACGTCCAATAGTTCTTGATATACTTAATGTTTTGTGTCAAATGAAAAAAAATAGTAATTTCTATAATTACTAGAACAAGTTGTTAAGGAAAAATTTATGAAAGCACGTTCAAATATTTTGTTGCAGCTTAAAAATATTTTAGCCAAATTTAGATCCCAGTTTCTTCTCAAACATTTGCCGGTTATCGTTTTCGTATGGAATATCGGTATAGTGGAACGCCCTGTATTAGAACCCAATACAATTTCTTCTAGAATTATTTCCGCCTTGCCGGAATTTGTGGTGAAAGGGCACCGCTTAAATTTATTGATTGTTCTGCATATATCTAAACTTGACCCATCAACCGAGAACTTCGTTGATACTCGTAGCCGTAGTCTTGTAGTATTATATAAGACGATAAGCTATGCGGTCTTGGCTCGTTACGAATTCACAGATTTTACGATTGCATTGAACTTTCTAGCCAAGTAGGCGGGTGCACTTTGTGCATGGCGTTGCATTTGTTTGTTTGTACTTACCATTCTTCATTCAGATTTATTAGAAGCTTTGTCTTTTCATCACTGTTAAGGAGAAATATTTTCAAACTGCGTGAGTAAGATAGAAAAAGTGTTGCTACAATCTGCGGTAACGATAAAATACGATTTGCGGCAATATACGCAAATTATTCAACAATTTTGCAACTTCAGTGCAAAATGCAGTAAGTGAAATTTTTCGGTTAAAATAAACTTTTTTTTTTGTCTCCCAAAATTTGGAAAAATTGTTTTAATTTATCCACCACAAATATTGTTCTATTTAGGACCCACAAGGCTAAAATTTAAGAGCATCAAATGGGGCGATGTGGGAGGCCAGTTCCAGGGTCAATTAACCACTTTTACCACTAAACGCAACAACATACATATATCAAATTACGTCAAAATACAGATATGGACTGAAATTTGACATTGCACTTATTCTCTATGGAAATAATGGAATAACAAGAGAATTGTGGAAAATAACTATACAGAAAGGTTTTGTATTCGAAAAAACGAAATATTTAGTTAGATTTGGTTAATTCAGAACAATGTGGTTGGCTGTCAAATTATGCCCATTCGTGTGTTGAAGGTAATATTACATCTTTCAAAAAGATTTCAAAACAATTACAGAGATGTGGTATTAGGTAAATCTGATGAAATATGCTATAATGAATAGTAGGTTTACCAGGTATCAAATTATCATTGGCGTCTGACCAATGCACTGACTCATGAACGAATAACCAAAAATTCTGAATTCTATTTTTTTTTTTTCGAACCATGAAACCCAAGGAAAGGCTCCCAATTAAAAACTATCCCTCTGGATAATTTATACCTGATCCTTGCACACTTAAAGTTTTTATATGATTTTTGTAACATAGTGTTTTTATTGGTAAGAACTTAGTGACGCAGAAACATATTGGGTAAGTTTTAATAATTGCTGAACGTAAGAATATTGTTAGGTCAAATGAGCTTCGAAAGCATTTAAGTTACTCTAAAATAGTAATATAAGTTTTTATTATTTATTCCCTATTTTTCAAAATAAATTTATTTAAGTGTCATAAATCCTACGCAATCATTGTACTTAAATTAGAAGTCACTATGTCTACGAAAGTTGGTCAAATCGCCATTCGGGTAATTGCCCGGTTTAAAAATACTCTTTACGTTTGTAATTAAAATGTTGCCACTTAAAAAAAAATTACCGCTACCGAATTATACCCAGTTAGAAAATAGTTGTTCGATTTCTTTGAAAGAAAATGTAAAATTTTAGCGGTTAGCAATAATCGTAAATGTCGCACCTGCACATTAATAAATCTTTAACCTTGACAGTGAGATGTTTATAACAACGCCAGTGAACGAACTATTGCAAGTTTAGTTTAGTTTAGTTTAGTTTTAAGCTCCAAGGAAACTTTAATGTTTGAGATTTATAATACATGAAAACATAAAACGCAATCATGGGTATCATATATATAATCACTGGAAAACATTTTGAAATTGAATATTACAGATAAATTGGCCAATATTTCAATAAATTATCAATTAAGTTAAATTTTACGCCATATAATTATGTGCTATGAATTTTTTTTTAGATCATGTCTTTTTTGGCAGTAGACTCTACTCATGTTTAGAAAATTATTTGTTTCTTATGATTATCTGATTTGAAAATTTACTTTCCCGTTTTGTTTGGAAACACTTGGCTTACAAAAAAATTTTCAAAAATCAAAATTAAATTACCTAATTGTGAGGCAATTTATCCAAAACAAAACACTCCACACACTGGTCACAACTGTATTATAGTTCAGCAATCGCTTTGCGTGTTAATGGAATTTGTCGGTAGTGGTCATTGTTTGACAAAGGCCGTGTAAGTTTTAAAAATCCACATCGCGCCTTTCGTAGTTTATTTAAAATCACATAAACCGAGCGTTGGACTAACGAGACGCCCCACCATACGCGTCTTGATAATTTTCGTAAGGTAACACGGAGCTTTATCGGGTATCGTTGGGGGCCGAATCGATTTGTATTGAAAGATTGCTGCTTAGCAATGGAAGTGGAACGATTTAATTATCACCGTTGAGCATTTCGCGCGATACGAGCGACGCGAAAAATCTTACAAGGGCTCGTTTCTCGTTTCGAACCTAAACTGCCTCATTTGTGTGACCAGTGAATTCGATCGGAGCTGGAATGCCACTGGCGTGATAGAGAAGTGAGGCAAATTTTACAATAGGAACAGTAATGGGGATTCTGGCCTTCGTCTTGCTCATTTTCTCGTTGTTTAATTATTTTTCTTCCCGAAATAATAATTATTGAAATGATTTGACATTTTTTTTTGCTGATATTATAGGTTAGGCAAGAGATACCTAGCGCGTTATCCTTTTGTTCGGCTAGAATTTATATTATTTTTAGTGACGTCACAAAGCGCCATTTAACGGCGATAATAGCAATCGAAATCAATCACGTCATAGTAGCGTTGATGGTCTAACCTTTTTCCTAGTTATTAATCATTAAAATCTTTGGTCACCTTCCACCATTTTCCTCTAAGAGATTGAGCAAGAACTATTATCAACAAGGAAATAATACGAAAATACTGATTTTTTTTTATAAACGAACAAAATTTAGTTTAATTCAATCAAATTTCACAAACCGCACCAAATTTACAATCAAAGTCTCCGAACAGGTGGAAGAATTGGGAAATAATATAAAACAATCTCTTCTTACACTAATCTGCAGTTAGTATCAACGTGTATAGCGAAGAAAATAATCTTCTCTACTATCAGTCTTCTTCTAAACAAAATTTGTCTCAAAAAATCGATTGTAGATTAGCTTATATGGGGTTCACTGGCAATGACACAGGGGAACGTGTTAATTATGTCTATTAAATATCGTTTAATGTTTTCTAATGACCTTACAGGGATCGCGTCACATCGGCTTTTTGGAAATGTCCACTTAATCGAGAAATAAGTTAAGTTCCTATTCCCGTTCGGTTTATTATTTTAAAAATGTCATTTTGAATGGCGCATATTTTTACTTATTTTTTGGACTATTAAATCTAACAGCAATAGCACCGTTCACAGGTCATCATTTGTTAACATTTCGGTCTCAAAATTATTATAATCAGTAGCAATGCATATTTTTTTATTGAAAAAGTTCCTTGATTTTATCCAATTTTATTTCAATTAAATTCAAGTATTTTCCTGTAAGGTGTGTTTCCGATAATTGTGGGTATTTATTTCAAATTAAATGTAAGTATTTTCAATGCTAAGTGCTTCCAGTCTCCTTTTGGTTGTTGTTTGGATATGCAATTAGCTTTAACATTTTTTTTCATCCGTTTCGTTCCGTGATATGAAAGGGTTTTTAGTGATTTTTTTATTATGTGTATAAAATCTCTTAAAGTGCGCATTTGAAAAAATGTGTCGTCATCGTTAAGAAACAATATTTTTTATCTGATAATTCTACCTGTACATAAAATCCAATTTCGGAGTAAAATAACGAAAACACCTAGCAATTTGCAAGAAATATAATTTTTAATGATGTTCTTGCCGGATTAACATAAATTGGGAATTAATATTTTAATGTATAATCAATTTTTTATATTTTGTGAACTATAAGTAATGAGGCGCGCATTATCAAATAAATAAAAATTTTCCATGCTCCTGACTACAAAATGAAAATATGTGTGGATGTTGAATTTTTGGATTTTATGAATGGAAAAGTGACAGCAACATTTTTGATTTTGCTTATCTTACCGATTAAAAATATTCGTTGTAATTTTCTTCCTTATTAGTCATAATTTTGAACAATTGTGTAGTGCACTTCTATGAAAACGTGACTAAAACAGATTTTTAAGGAAACAATTTTTAAAGTTCATCATTTGAATATAAAGTGTAACTATAACAATTTATTTTATATTGAAGGCTCACTCAACCATAATAAAATAGAGATAGATTAACGTATTTTTGTGATTGGCTTTCGTCTATATATTTTTATATACTATGAATTGAAACGAATATTGGAGAAAAATAATTCAAATTTCATTTTCGAAACTTTAAGAAATGCCATATAATTATTTAGGTCCCGATCCTACACTAAACTCTAAGCAGCAAAAACATTACGGCGTAATATACAATAAGATAAATAAAAAAAATTATCGCAACCTAGTGCGACAAAGTTACTCCAACATTTTAAGGCAATGAAGGGAGATGGAAAAAGTTCCAGTATTGCCTCAGCATAAACGACTGCTTTAGTACGTCGCAACGCTAAAATTATTGTTAAATATGACATCGTATTATTTTCAGTCTGTATTATTGGTTTACAACCGTCTTATGTAATTGACTCTAATCCAAAAATGTTTTGACTTTATGCATCATTTATTAAAACCACTTTCAACATTGTAATAAATAATAGATAATCAAAAAAATGACGTGCCTGCCTGTCATTTGTCAAAATTTACATTTTTTATGAAATGCCCTTAAAAAAAATCTCTAAAAAGGTGTGATTTCACAATTGCTTCACGAAATTACTTTTTAACAAAAATATCTTAAACAATTTGCAAATTTTTTTTAGAAAAGTTGTGAAAAAGTGTAAATTTAAAAATATTGTTATCGTGCATTAGTGCAATGCAACAAATGATAAGTTTTCTCTATATAATTGTTGTCTGTTTAAAAGCTTTTTCAAGTGCAAAAACCCCTTTTTACAATGTCGATCGCATTAGGTGCTTTCATTTAACGTTTTATCACGGGAAACGGTTGATGAGTTCGCGTTGCGACATAATATACTTACAGGGCATAAGCGGATAATTTCATTTGTTCTGGGCTATCAATTCTCTATACGCAATTACATGTTGTAAGTGCAAAGAAAATTATCATTCGATTTTCACGCTCCGCCGATTCGACAGGTATGGTAGGAAATGCAGCGGCATCTACGTAGTGCAATGTTTCTTTCAATTGGATGTTGCCGGTTTTTTGATTTTTTACTAATTTGCTTAATCTCTGAAAAAGAAATCCAACCACCTCAACGGGTGATTCAATAAGAGTTTCCACATTACAATCTGAAATATTTTTGAAACGCCACTGTATTTGTTTATTGTCATATGAGATTTCTAACCTCAAAACATAAACAAAATTAGTCATGGTGCAATATACGACTGAACAACGTGTAAAAATTGTGCAAGCCTATTATGAAAATGGTCGATCAAGAAAAAATGCATTTCGGGCTCTACGTGAATTTTTCGGCGCGCAAAATGGACCTTCTGAGAGGACAATTTGGAATGTGATTCAAAAATTTGAGTAAACTGGATCTGTAACTAACCTCAAAGTCGCGCAACGTGCTCGTGCAGGTCGGTTAGATCAAAATATTGCCATTGTTCGCGAAAGTGTAATCGAAGATCCAAACACATCGATTCGTCATCGCTCGCAGCAAGTGGGCCTTACGTATTCAACCACGAATTTTAACAAAAGACTTGCATCTACACCCATATAAAGTCCAAATAACTCAGGAGTTGAAACCTCGAGATCATCAACAGCGCCGCGTGTTTGCAGAATGGATACGAGAACAAGGGGTTCATTTTTCAACGAAAATCATCTTTAGCGATGAGTCACATTTTCACGTTGGTGCCCTTGTAAATAAACACAATGCTCGTATTTGGGGATTAGAAAATCCAAGAGAGATTGTTCAAAAACCAATGCATCCTCAAAAAGTGACTGTTTGATGCGGAGGAATAATTGGCCCTTTTTTTTCGAGGGTCGGAGAACGCTGTTACGGTTAATGGTGTTCGCTATCGAAACATGATATCTGAATATTGAAGATTTGTGGTTCCAACAGGACGGAGCCACTTGTCACCCATCCAGAGAAACGATGCAATTGCTGCGCGGCAAGTTTCCTGGTCGGATTATCTCACGTAATGGCGATATCAATTGGCCGCCGCGATCATGTGATCTTACTCCCCTAATTTTTTTTTTTTGGGTATCTAAAAATCACTATTCACATTCCAGAGCTGAAACAGGAGATTAGACACGAAATAGCCTGCATAGAACCTAAATTGTGTCAAAAAGTGATAGTAAATTTCAATCAACGAATTACTTCGTGCCACATGAGTCGCTGGGGTCATTTGAATGACATCATCTTTCATACCTAATTGTAAGACACTAATCTAAAATGGCAAATAAAAGTGATTGTATATTAAAAAAAACCGCCTTATATTTCAAATATTTTTGTTACATTTTGTTGATATTTGGCAGTGCCATTAAAATTGTGAAGTCCAGTGCCGTCCCAAGAGGTATCCGAACGAATAGTATTTTCATTTTCTAGCGAAAAAATGAAAATCACTAAATAAATAATAAAAAAACTAGCCAAAACATATTTTTTTACATGTATTTTTTGGATTCTTTGGTCGCAATCGACTCAGTTCTACAATATTAACACCAAGGAAAATTATGAAAGTGACCACCATCAGTTTCATATGGACTATCTTCCGATTTTCTTATTTTAGTAGTCTAGTCATCTATTTATATTTCTTGACTAACCAAAATAGTGAAGTTTGTCCCATTTTTTTTGAAAATTGGTGCTTTTGTAGAAAATTGAAACAACCATTTGCAATAACATTTTTGGACATTTTAAATAATAACCTCTTTTCTTAGTATTCTTCTCTAAAAATGTCAATTTTGCAGAAAAAGGCAAACGTTTAAAAACTTTCCTAAATAACTTTGTTTATTATTTTTGCTAAAACTTTGTATAAGCTAAGCTATATAAGCTAAAAATAATTTTATTATAAAATATGCATATGTAGTTTTTGAAAATGACTATCAAAAATGACATAAAAATAAAAGTTTATTGCCCGTATCAAAATGGCGAATTGCGGCAGCGCTATACGAAAAAAAAATCACTACGCAAATAGCAAGCTTAACGCTTTGGTTGGTGGCGTTTGGACCGTTCTCGAGTCGTTGGATTTTGAGGTTGTCAGTAAACCAAATCAAAATCAATTTTTCTGTTTACGCGATTTTAATTGGTCGGTATTGCACTATCAAATTTGGGTTTCAGAACGTATCGAATAAATGCATTCTAGCACGTAGTAACCGACAATTAGCTTGCTTTCATAATATTAATAT